GCAAACTATATTTGTAATTGAATTATATAATTTTGTAATTGTATTTGTAGATTTACGATTTAGGCCTATATTTGTAAATGGGAGTAACTTTAATTGTGTAATTGTTAATCGCCATAGGAATTTAAATTATTTTTACGTATGTAGGTGTGTCAGAAGGTGCACAAATGAATGGTGTAGTAGTGTGAGACAGGGGCGGTTTTGCCACTATTTTAAAAATGTCAATGCATATTAATGTTATGTGCTACTCATTTATCTATTCTGGAACTGTTGTGTGCCCCCTCCCCTTTGAAAAATTTTGGATCCGCCCCTCTGACAAGTATCAACAGTACAATAATAATGACATCATACCAATTTTCTTCTGAAGTTCAAAACCCACTGTTTTTTTAAACTTGTGGAACATTGACTAAGTTATATCATTATTTTTATGAATGTGGGTATGTTTGTTTGTTTATTTATTTATTTATTCTAAGATAGAGATGGCAGGCTATGGAAATTCCTATTCCCAATAGGATTCACTTACCATATACATTCAGAACAAATACAACTTTATTATTTGTTAACCTAAAAATCCATTAAATACGACTTGCTATACATAAGGCTATAGGCGTATTCCCCAGAACCGACTGGGGCTTTCCCTTGCCTCCCAGGCAAAGCTTGAGCAAATTGTTAGCTTAAAAATAGAAATAATAGAAATTTTAAAGTAATTCGTATATAACTCGCACAAGTTGTTGCTCGCACAAGTGGATCTTCTTCCGCTCGAACTAGCATCCGCTCGAAAGAAAAAATCCGCTCGAATTCGCTCGAATTGGCCTTCGCTCGAAGTGGCATCCGCTCGAATTGACTGGTTCCCAGGCTAGGACATGAAAGGTTGTTGTGGTGTTATTTCGCAATTTGCGACGTCATCAACGAGTACAATACATTCAATCCCGTAACATGATTGGTCTATTTTTTTCTAATTTGCATAATGAATTTTTCCAACAATATTGTCTATTTTTAAAAAAAGTGTGTAAGTTATGGAGATGGTAGCAATCATAAATCGATTATAAATTTAATTATACATTTGTAGACAAAAAATAAACCCTCTTGGCCCACGGCCCATTTTTTTTTTGACACCAAGACCAAGCGGAATATTAACCTGCAGTGTATATATACGAAGATTTTTTTCTAGTAAGAATAGAGTTGACTAACTGGTACTTGGTGTGGTACTAGGTTTATCGCATTCATGGTTTAGGGGCTGCGGTTTATTTCCCTCCGTTTATTCATGCCGGATCAGGAGTAGTAAACTCAGCGATCGTGGGTTCGATTCCCACACGAGCCAGTTTTTTTCATTTTTTTTAAGGCAGTCTAGTTGATGGTGGATAATGATAGAAAGCCTGGAAGTTGTGTGTTCGATTCCCACACGGAACAATTTTTTTTTTAAAGGTTGAAGGTGGATAATGAATAGCAAACCTGGTGGATGTGTGTTCAATTCCCACACGAACCATTTTTTTTTTAAGGCAGTTTTGATGGTGGATAATGAATAGCAAACCTGGAGGTTGTGTGTTCGATTCCCACACGAACCATTTGTTTTTTTTTTTGTTTTTGTTTTTTGTTTTTTTGCAGGCGTAATTCCTAGACAGGATTGTTCATTCAATTCATATTGAAATTAGTGTTTTGATGATGATTTTTTTCTTTCATTCAATGGGAATTCATATATTTCATATTTTATATGAGAAGAATCAATGAATGTTCAGCTTTCCGTTTACTGGATCCCCCACTGATTATAGCTCTGGAGTTGGAACATGACCGTTTTGGTATACCAAATATACTTCCTACAGCAATATAAAACTGGTGATGCTGCCCTCAACGTTCCTTAAACTTTGAATTTTTCGTACTAGAGGTACAGTGAATAATAACTATTCAGATTTACTCAAACGAAATACAGTAATTTGATTTTACAGGGTATGCATCATGATGATGGCAATCAAATTGATATTATGAAGCACCACATTGTGATTATGATTTATTTAAATGAGTAATTTATATCAAAATTTGCGTATTTTATTCTAAATAAACCAGTTTTTAAATATTAAAATATTTTTTTAAATTTCCATTTCTGAAAGTATAATGGATACTCCAAGTATTGAAGTACATGCCATCGCGTTCAATATGTAAATATGCATCAGCACATGTTATACATAAGGCCTACTGTAACTATAGGCCTAACACAGGCCTAAGCGTGATTTTTTACGTACATTTCAAATACAAATTTAAGTACATATACAATACATATTCTGTTATAAATCATTTTGCTGTCCTATGCTTTGTGATAGTTAACCCCGAAGATATCGTGTCACTTTTATGCAATAACAAATAAAATAAAACCACTGATTTTGGTGTTGATTTAATGCTGTACAGTGACCCGTGCTCTGATAGAAACCCACCATAAACATATATCAATAAAAGTGACCCGCTAACCTGATAGTAACTCAGTGGAATATTCGTTAGATTAATCAATTTTTCACAATAATGCAAAAATTAACAATAGATAAATGATCGTGAAAAATTTGCTTCAGGTGCTTCAGTTTTATATATACTGTAATATGGTGATGTGATGACGATGAGTTTTATTATATAAAAGTGTCATTTCCGGCCGTCTAGAGCACTATTTCCTCAAATTTTCTCACCACATAAGTCGTTGTGAAATCACGGCTTGGACAATGTTTTTAAGGTTTATTTTCTATGATAGCACATATTAATAAAATCTCTATATATAAAACAACTTTTATTCAAAAACTGTAGTGCAACGGAATTCAATTTTTTTTAATTTTTCCTGTCCAAAAATCCCTGATAAAAGATCATGAGAAATTTTGCCCTTCATTTTGGCTATTATTTGTAATTGTGATGTGGATGATGATGAATTTTACTAAAAATGTAACTTATGGCCTCTGAAGGTACTATTTCCTCAAAGTTCAGGAAATGTTCCCCCACCCCCTCCCCAAACTTTCAACCTTTCAAAACAGATCTTCGCCCTTCTCAGTATGAAATTAAGCGCCATCGAGTCGGCACCTGGTCTAGTGGCTAGCAAAAAATCCGTTTTCATGTCTACTGATTTTGATCGTCGCTACATCGCATATAAATAACCAATTTTGAAACTATAAAAAAAATCACGATCAAAATTCTTTATATTCTGGGGAAAATTTAAATTGGTAGGCCTAACAATCGAAAATCGCGCAAATGTCTGGAAACTCGCGTGATCTGAACAAGGAGAATTATAAAAACAACCGAATCCTTTTTCGGAACTATAGATTTCTAATGATTCTTGTTCCAAACAGATTAGGGCAATTTAAATGTACGGAAACATTTGACTTCCGAATCACTGCCTATGGTGCTAAAGCTCGAATTTGCCAATATGTTTAGCACCCAATTTCCTGGCTACATACATATACATAACATAATTAATTTATATGGCGCAAATCAGACGGATCAAAGCGTGGATTAGGCCTACAGTAGCTCATACAGTAACTATATATATATACCGGTATATATATAGAAAATGGTTATTCGCACGGTATACCGTGCGAATAAGCTCTTATGAGTCTTATTCGCACGGTAGACCTAGCCAATCAGCATTTGACGTTTCATGACGCCTAATCTAACCCTGCCAATAAGTTCTTGAGGTACTATATATATAAATATATATATACAGTATATATAAATATATATATATATATGCCTATATATATATATCTAAATATAATATTATGATGTGAACATTTTTTAATTCGAGTTATAAAGTTCAATACATGATGAAGTAACCCATTTAAAATTGCAAGGAGTGTCATTATGCATTTATTTGCTTTTTAGGCCCTAAATCTAATTTTCTCGCTTATCCATGTTGCTGCTGATTTAAATTAAATTTTAAATTCAATTTACTGTAGGACTTTTAAAAATGCATTTCATGTCCATGGCTGTCAACATTAGAAAGTGCATATATTTTATGTAGGGCTTGTACTAATTTTGGCCGGAAAAACATATGCCTATACGATGAGTAATGCAGGCTTAACTGAAAGTTAACTTTTCAAGCGTTTGTATTGCTAGGAACTGGTCAATGCCTACCCAAAAACGTCAAAACAACATGACAATCCTAACTTTATCTTAATGCGTATTTCTTCCTAGTTATCAATCAACGCCATCAGGCTAAATTCCCAGGGGCGTCAACTCTGACCTGCTGCATGCACACAGTAGCCTTTTAAAAACAGAACATAATCGATGAGCAGTTCTGCAGAGCGTACTGCTCCCATCCTCCCGCTTTCGCGGGAAGTTTAGTTGATTTTATTTTACGAATTATGATTTTGCTCTTGCTGTTTCGTATTTTAAGAATTGCCCAAGATGTCTGGCTCGCTACCTTTGTTGTACCACGCCGAGAGCTCATTTTATTCACAGAGGGTAAGTTTTTTTTAATGATTTGTTGAGTACAGTACCCTGCTGTGGTGTTGGTATGGTCACGCGGTAGGCCTAATGATGATGGCCTCATAGACCTACCTAGGCTAGCTAGCAGCATCCAATGAATACTTCTCGTCCGCGGGTCCGTCCATTTGATGTTAGATGGATGTATATACAAAAAGCCCTGGTCGGGGAACATATCATATAAAAAAAATCAACTGTTAGGCGACATCTTCTTAAAGGGAACATATCAACGTTCCCTGACCGTTTTTGACCCGTTTTTTGCTTAGAATTAGTGAAGTGAGAATAACATCCAGGGTTGAAAATGAAACTGTCATCCAATTTACATAATATATTCTAGGTCCTACCATTATAAACAGTTCATGGGTTGTAAAATGTGTGATGCAAAGTGTACCACTTTTTATACTGAATATATAAAATTGAATAAATATCTACTGTAGGGAGACAAGTGAATTTTGACGTTTTTTGTGCCGAAAATGAAATTATATCTTATTTATGTCTTTAGATATTGACTAATATATTTCAAACAGAGTATGTGGTTACCATAGCATTAGCACACAACCTGCAAGTGAAACAGATGACACCTATCTCGAATGGAATTGTCTATTTTCACCCAGCCTGGATAAAACGAAGACCTTTTTGCGCATGCGTGAAATTTTGACATTTTATGCTGTACTAGACTGGCCGGCCGGATATCTGTCTTCTCGCGCGAAATTTTGTTTTCGTTGTTGATGGTGTATCGGACGATAGGTAATTTTTCAAGTTCAACATTCAAACTTTTCATTTCGTGAATCCTTATAATATTTTCCCGAGACTTCATTGGAACATTACTACATTTGACCATGGCAGGTAAGTTCTTTTTTTTTACATCGAAATATTTCATTTTAATAAATATAGCCTAGGGGCCTAGGCCTAGGCATTTAGCATGATACCTCTCTCTAGGCCTAGGCTAGTGTAGTGGGCGGCCTAGGCTGGGGCCTTGCCATCTAGGGCCTACATACCTGCTCTAATTAATCTTATTAATATTATTCTATCTTATCTATACTCAGGCCTAGGCCTGGATCCCCAACCTAAGTCCTAGCAGTATATTTGTTTAGCTAGGCTTAGGTACTCTACTACATGCCTCCGATCGGCTTATTAGGCCTAGGGCCTAGGCCTATATTGTCCAAAAGAATTGGAGGCCTATGTTGCCTGTGCCACTGTGCGCTGAAGATCGGCTACCCCTGTGCAAAATGTTGGGCCTAGAAATGAGGCCTAGGCTTGGGGGTCCTAGGCTAGGCCCACCACAGGTCTTGGCTATAGGCCTAGACGGTAGAAAATTTCGTCCGATTTATGTAGCCTAGTAGGCCTAGGCCTTAGTAGTGTGCCTATCTAGGGCCTAGCCTAGTAGATACGCTTTTGGCCTTTGCTTAGGGCCTAGGCCTATAGTCCTACGTTTTTGTTAATAATATGATATTTGCGGATGGTACAAAAATACATTCAACTTTATTAATTATTTATTGAAAAGTTAATATGCAATGGCATAGGCTTTAGTTGCAAAGAAAGTATAAAACCTGAAATAATAATAACCACAATAGTTGTATTGTAAAAGCAAGCTGTGTATTGCTTTTTTATAGGTAGTGCATTGCAATAAGATATCATATGATCTCATTTTCACAGCAATGCTATTTCTATTTGTTGCTAGGTAGACTAAGGGGGGAAAAAACTGTTAGTTGGCTTTTACATTCAATCATGCGCCGCGGCGCTTATTCGAGAGCGGCGCTTAACAAAAAAAATCATGTTTTGTGCAGCGCTTATTCGAGAGCGGCGCTTATTCAAGCATTTACGGTATGTTTCTTAATGAAAACAAAGTTAAAAACCGAAATAATTGTACATTGTTTTGTCTCTTTTCATTTTTACATGCAGATAAGTGCGTAATATAGACTGCAATTATTGCATTAATGAATAATCGACATATAGGTTTGGGTGGCTATGCCTATGGGGTGCCGGACAGAGGCCTCTTAGTGCCGGGTGGAAAATATTTGTGCCGGACAGGGCCGACCGGCGTGGCGAGAACCCTGTGTGAATAATAATCAAGCTTTGAGACTAATACTAATCAAAGTGTAAATTGTTTATTAAAACTATTAAATGCACTTTAAAAAATGTAATAATCAAATGCTTAATCGAAAGTACTGTATATTAAAGTAAACTCTTACACTAAAACATTACCGTTTATTGTATAAACAAACTAAGGGTAATATAAAATAAGATAAGCATATCCTTGTTGCTTTCGAATATGGACTCAGTGAATCAGTAGTAAAATACCCAGTGAAGGGTTTACATACCTACGACTATACATCTATCTGAACATAGTATCTGGTTTCTGAAGATTTGAAATTGACAAAATAAGCCTGTCCTTTTTCAGCTAATTTTGGGTGAATGGCTTCAAAATTATCTAAACCACTGTAAACTTAACAGTACTAATGAATTAACCAAGTGATATGCCTAATTGTAGGGTATGCAATGTTACATTATTCCCTACCAAAGCCAACATCTTCCTGACTAAAATTTAATTATTTAGTTAGAAATATAAATACAATGTAGCCTTAACACCAAGTCAATAAATACATGTTAAATACCACATTGTCAAAAAAATCAAATGCAGGAGGGAAGGTATTGTTTTAGCAATCTGTTATATAGACCTACTATAGGTAAATAATTAAAGATAAATGTAGGTCAGACCTTCTTGTTTTTAAATGCAGTAATAAAATAAACATGGGCTAAATAGAAAAAAAAAGCATTCGGATATTATCATTCTACATTTATTTTTTTCAGAATGCTCATTTCAGTTGTATGTGAAGTATTTACTGTACTTTTGTTATTTTGAAACATGACTTACAAACACTATATGTTTTTTGAGTTTTACTTTCAATAAATACAGTACATGTTAAATACCACATTGTCAAAAAAATCAGATGCAGGAGTTCTACTGTAGGTAAATAATTAAAAATAAATGTAGGTTAGACCTACTTGTTTTTAAATGCAGTAATAAAATAAACATGGGCTAAATAAACATTATTCGGATATTATCATTCTACATTTATTTTTTTCAGAATGCTCATTTCATTTGTATGTGAAGTATTTACTTTTGTCATTTTGAAACATGACTCACCAAACATAATGTTTCTATTAAAACAAAGTTTTAGCCAATATATAATTAAGAAAAAACTTGAATTTTTAATATCTAGGTTATTACTCACCAATGAAATAATTACAGTATAATAAAATGAAAATTGATTTGAAGAACAAGTTTATATGGGCAAATCAGTATTTATATTTTATTTGATTACGCTGTAGCAACAAGATCAAGAAGAAACCATTCTGAAACTCCAGAAGTACTTGCTACCAGATATTGTCTTGAAGGTCGTGACCCAGATGGATTTGAAATTAAAAATTTCAATTTGAAAGGTAGGTACAGTATATCATGTTTTCCAAAGCCTATTATGTAGTTAAAATCAAATTTTCCATGAGTAACTTACTGTGTTCAAATCATTAGCCTCCCCGCAGGAGCATCGCTCCGGGAAGGCTATTGTTTTTACTCATGTTCTTCATGCTGTCGTTGTCGTTGTTGGAAATAGCTTGTTACCACGATAACTAAAGTTTGGTAAGTCTGAATAATTTCAAACTTGGCAGAATGCAAGATGGTAACAAGAAGACGAAGCCTATTGTTTTTGGTAGGTGTATGAATATGCTAATTGCTCATTTCCATAATTAATAAGTCACAAACCAGTAAATTTTCAATAATTATCATCATATTTCCTATAAAAAAAATCCTATTTAGTTGAAATTGTAATATGTGATGCTTTTATATTGCAGAAAACAGTGATTCAATTTATTGTTGAAATAAAACATTTCTTCATATTTTTTTTTAATTAATAAAATGTTTAATTACCAGATATAACGCAATTTGCGTTACTAGTTAACGCAATTTGCGTCACAAAAAGTGTTTTAATAGCAATTACAACGACGGACGACGCAATTGCCATGCGGAGGATTGCTGAAAGCGTTTTAACGTTAGTGGACGATCACGATGAGAAGAAATATTGTGGTGCTATTTTTTATTGGATATACAGTGTAGTTCCCCAGCGTAAACAAAAATATTTGCCTTTAATATAATTTTTGAAGCATCTACCTTTTCAAACTGGTGATTTTTCGTAACTAACTTGACTAGGCCTAGAAATCTTAGCGAGTTAAATCTGGGTCGAGTCTAGGCCTAGCTTTAGAGACTTACTACCGATAATGTAGGTAGGGCCTAGCTGGCCTATCAGTACGGTGGCAGTTGATGCGTAGGCCTAGTTCTAGCATGGAGGAAGGAACATGCTTCAATATAATATTTTGAAGCATCCATGAGACTATGATCTACCTGTTCAATCTGATGATTTCTCTCTAGCCTAGAACTCTTGGCGAATTAAATCCAGGCCTAGGTCGACGAGTTGACTAGACTAACCATACATGTACCACCGGTACAGTGATATGGTCATCATTAAGGTATCATCACGGTTATTTTACCATTCAGTTTGTTTACTTGTTGTTTTATTTAGGCCTCCTCTAGGATAAAGCCTAAAGCAAAACTGAAGACACATAGATAGGGGCCTATTTTTTCATTAATTTTTCTAAAGCCATTATCATTGACTTATCATAGGCCTAGTACAACTTATTCATTCACAAAACACAAATAACAAAAAGAATATCATAATTCTCAGTCCATTCACTGTCTTTTAATTTTTAATTATTCCAGGATCACTATCTTCGAAAAAATAACCTTGAAAATTAGGTATACCTACATTAAACAATTAAATTATAAAATTTTATAAGGTCAACATAAATTCTCTCCAAGAAACTAATTACCGCGGGGAGGCTATGCTTTTACTGCGCAGCGTAAAAGGAGCATTTCTAGTTGATGATTGATTTTTCTTTTGTCCAATATTTTCTTATACTGTAAATAACAACTGACAATGTTTTTGTTACAGGTAGAGGAGTTGTAGCTAGACGAAACTATTTACATGGAGAATTTTTGATGCAATACCACGGACTGCTCTTGTCGGCAGATGAAGGGTCAGCCTTGGAGGATCAAGCATCCTCTGGATACCGCTACTTCTTTAGCTTCCAAAAAAAGGAGTTATGGTAAGTATATTCAATTTAGTTGATTATCTCTTTGAGCAGAATTAAATACCGTTACTATTTTAGCTCCTGAAAAATGGAGCTACCAATACTGTATGGTAAGTAATGTACTGTGTTATATCTAGAGGTCTAAAGGATTAATCTAATTGTTGTCAGAGATTAGCAAGTTGTAATGGAAATTTTTAGAAAGTCCTAGTGCAGCATTGTCATATTCACTTCTTATTATTTATATTATTGTGTGTTTGAGGATCAGTGTATCTACTAGAGACAATTGGTACATCATGTATATTGTGAAAACTATGACTGTATAACGGTCATTGTAATAAAAAATGGTAATATTATAAGTTTTATTTTGTTTTTTTGATTTCAGCATGGATGCCACAGAAGAGCCAGTTTCTGGACCTATTTTAGGGCGTTTAGTGAATCACGGAGAAAAGAGGGAGATAAATGCTAAAGTTAAAGTGTTAGTAATCTCCGGAAAACCAGCACTTTGTCTTTTTTCATTACGAAACATTGCTGAAGGAGAAGAAATTCTATATGACTACGGTGTGAAAGACTTGCCATGGAAGAAAAATAAGGTAAACAGAACTTATATACTGTACAAACTCTAAAATAATTTTACCAAAACATTGTTAAATTTAAGTACATTCTGTGATAGCGTATTTTGACTAGCTTTCTGCAATTTTTTTGGTTGGAAGCCTAAAAAAACGGTTTCAGTTTTAAATATTATGTGAAAACTGGAGCACTAAATTGTAGAATGTTACTCTTTTATGATGTTACTATTCAGTGACACAATTTTATTATTGAAAGTTTCAAAAATCAATACTGTATTAAAATTAAAAAAAAATGAAACTAGATTAAATCCTTCATTTAACAAAATCCGCTTACAAACAGCACATGAAAAAGATAATACATTCGTTATACCAAGTAAATGGTTTTATATCAACTAATTTAATACCGCACAAAAAGGCACACTGACTATTTTGCATTTTGTTTAAATTTTTTCTTATAATTGTAAATATTTAGGCCAGCTATGTGGCCCTCCAAAAAAGGCCTATTGCACCTACTGCAGTATTCAGTATTAAGAAATACAGTCTTTTAAATAGATCATCACATATAATTATTAAGATAATATATGAATATATCATGATCTTTCAACTTCAGTAATTATGCAACAATTTTTATTCCCTTGTGTGTATTTATTATTTATTATTATTGTTGTTGTCATTAATCATTATTGTTATTACCATTATTATTATTATAGTGCTCTGGTTAGATACATCTTACGGTAGCCCTAACCTTATCCACCTAGGTGTAAATTGTATTTCCCCAGCATACAAATGACTATACTGACTGCTTTTAAGCAGAAAAAAAATGTGTGGCAAGGGCTGTTTGAAAAGAGTCAAGTAATCAAGTTCATAATATTTGTTGGAAAATTCTGTATTTGAAGTACATTAGGAATTGTTTTATATATTGTACCACAATGGTTAGAACAAAAAAGGAAATGTTGCATTTCCCGTGCAGAGTAACGATTAAAGGTCGGTCAGGTGCAGTTGGGATTTTTTTTTATATTTCCTTTTTTTATAAATATATTTGAAACAAATCTACTAATGAAGATTAATTTTTTTTATTTTCACTCACATTTACTCATGCCAATGATGACATAACAAATGAATGATATTTGCAAATTGTAGCCCTACTGTAATCTTTGTTAAGACTAAGTTGGCCAAATCACTAAGCCCATGTTTTTGGGTCAGTAAGCATTGGCAACATAACAATTCCTTTTGGAAATTTGGTACTGTACATTAATGTTTAATATTTTATAAAAAATATATTTTCTATGTTATAAAGACTACAAACAAAAGCCATACAAATATGGATCTGGCAGAGGGAGAAAAATTGGCAGCTAACCGAAATACCTCAGTGAAAGAAGATAAAGACAGTGATGAAAATCATTTTGATCAAATCCTTTTATCAGATGAAATGGCAGATACAAATATGGAGACAGCAGGGGGAGAAAAATCATCCACGAATAACGTGACAGGTAGCCAAACCACCCTAGCAATAGAAGTACAAGATACACTATACGTGGATGTACAGGAAGTTGATCATAAAATGGATGGTGAGCAAAGCTATGTCCCTGAACCTGACAGTAACTTTCATGATGAAAGTGAATTTGATAAAACATTAGCATCTCCAGATAAATTGACAGGGCCCATTATCCCAGTGACTGTATCCATGGAAAAGAACTCAAACAAGGCATGGGCATTGAAAACTCTGGAAGAACTGTCAACAGGTGTAGTTAGTTGTGTACCAGTTTCCCCCAGTCTTGACAGCATGAATACCGGCACACTATTCGAGGAGGGGGAATCGGAAGTACCATTTATAAATTTAAATGAAGTTTTACAAAATTTTGACAATGATGACAGTCATAACATCCTGGATTTTGGTGATAATTCCCAACTCCCGAAAAAAACAGGTGATCCAAAGCATCTGGCATTCACAAAGGAAGTGACAGCTGGCCCGAGCTCCCCAGTGAATACAGATGGAGAAGCCAAAGAACCATGCATGGAGAACAATGTTTTAAGTTCTGGAGATGATGATGATGATGACGATGCAAGTTATGTTCTAAGCTCTGGCTGCTCTGACTGTAGTGATATAATCCCTTGGATACCAATGTCCAAAAAATCTAAACCTGATAATAAAAGCCTAGAATCCACAGTGACTGCTGGACAACAAACCACTAGTGAGATGGAAGTAGAAGCAGAAGAACCATGTTCTGACACCAATGGAATTTCTGAAGATAATCAGAACCAGGGTCAAATGCTGAATAATGACAGGTTAGAAGAGTCTGCCCCAAAAAATAATAAGCGCAAGTACAGAAAACCAAACAGGACATGTCCATTTTGTGACAAATCCTATGCCAAACTCTCACGACACATAGCAAGTCAACATTCACAATTGGATGCTGTGAAAAGGGCCTTAATTCTACCAAAAAAGGATAGGTTGGCTATTTTTCAATCTTTTAAGAAAGAAGGCATATTAAAAACTAATAGATCACAGGCTAAGTTGCTAAACCCATCCTACCAGAGAGAAAGGTCAGCTTCATCAGGTTCTTTGGTTATGTGCAGCATATGCTCAGGATTCTATTCAAAGTGCTACATCAAGAGGCACACAAATATTTGCCAATCAGCATCTGAGGCATGTTGTTCCAGTGTCCCTGTGCCTGTTAGTTTAATGTCTTGTGCCAATACTTATGGAGGTGACTTCTTCAACGAGGTTCTGAGCAAATTTCGTCAAGACGATATTGGAGGAGTCTGTACTACTGACCCTATTCTGATACACATTGGACAAAGGTTATGGTACAAAATAAAGACCAAACAAGATAAAAAAATGGAAGTTAGACGGTCTGTAATGACCGATATGAGAAGGTTGGCATGCCTTTATCTAGAAATGCTCAAACATGAAGAAACATTAGGACAAATACCAAGTAAAGAAGGGAATGTGGCAGATATGTTCAAGCGGAAAAATTTCAATCATTTGGAAGCAGCCATCGATACCTACACACGAAACAACACTTCAGATATCCAAACAGTGAAAGCAGGGTTAAAATCAGGCCTGTACTATCTGCTGAAGTCAACCAGCAAAATCCTGAAAGCCATCTATTTGGTTGAAGAGAAGGATGAGCTTTCAGATGATGTCGACAAATTTATTTCATTACTTGAGCTAAACCACAACTTTGTCTTTGGTGATGCTACCTACTCCATCAACCAGCAGAGACAGATTAGATTGAGGCGCCCAGAGGCTTTGCCCCTAGAAGATGATGTAAAAAACCTCAGAAATTATACATTGAAGAAAATGAATGAGATTACATCAGATGAATTAACCTTCCGGGATATTCACACATTCAAAGAATTAAGAGATTTGGTTGTGTGCCGCCTTACTCTCTTTAATGCTCGCAGAGGTGGCGAACCAAGTCGTCTATTAATTAGAGAGTGGAAGGATGCAGAAAGTGGCATTTGGTTGAACCAGGCACAGCTGAAAACCCTTGACCCGCTAGATAAAGCATTGGCTGATCGCTACAAGATTACTTATCAAAGTGGAAAGGGAAATAAGCACATTGTGCCAGTTCTCTTCCCAAATGACACCATTGAAGCTGTCAAAAAAATCAGCAGCAAAGAAGCAAGATCTGTTATACCTGGCATAGAGAATAACCTGTTCTTGTTTCCAAGTACAAATGGATCACAAAATCATGTGTCAGGTTGGCATGCAGTCTCTAGTGTGTGTGACAAGGTGAAGCTGATGAACAAGTCAACAATAACTGCCACTAAGAACAGGCATAGAGTGAGTACAATGTGCGCTATGATGGATATTCCGGAAGCTGACAGACAATTTATATATAAGCATCTTGGTCACTCTGAGGAAACCAACCGAAATGTATATCAGACTCCACTAGCCTTAAAGGAGATAACAGTTGTAGCAAGAAGGCTGGAAGAAATCGATGAAGGTAGCTTTTATATGGAAGTTGAAATTACAGAAACACCATGCAATCTAATAATTACTACTAACTGCTCTTGCCCATCTGTGATTAACCCTTGTCATGACAAGTATACAGTAGGATTATCTACAGTACTTTAGGACATAGATTTTAAATTTTCAAATTAAGAAAATATAACCATTAAAAACTTGACATATGCAATAATTTAAAGAAAGTTATTAATGTGTCCAGAATGGTGCCACAATAAATTTTCATATTTCCAGATTTTGTTATCATTAACACTTATAAGGTTGAGTAGAAAATTTAGCTTGATATAAAGTCATTCAAAAAGTAGCCTTTCAAAGTCCATGACAAAAAATACTGTGGAATATATACCCTACAGGATCTTGTACAATAAGGCTACAATTATAACAGCGCCTGTATAGCTGAAATCTACTACTGAAAAAAAAAATTGTTTTCTAATGCATCTTTGTATTCATTAAATTAATAGAATCATTTTATTATAAAATCATTTCTGATAAAGAATTCAAGTGTGATGTGTGCCAAGTTTGTTACTAATGCATGGCGGTACCTACAGTAGCATTTTTAAGAAACATTGATAAATGTAAGTTACATTATTTTACATTTTAGCTCTACTCATCATTTGTATAATAAATGAATGAATTTTAAAAATATTGTACTCTTCTAATGTGTCATAAAGTACTGCTACAGTGCTTGATACCTAAGTAAGGTGAGAATGTAAGTATATTAATGCATGTCTGTAACATCATTATTCATTCGTTTTTTTCATTTATATTGTTAATAAAGAAGGTCGAATCTGAGCTCACATCCAATGTACCTATCTCTTTCCTTGGCATTTGGTTCAGACAGTGCTACAGTATGTATGTTGTGGGGTTACTTTTCCCAGCATTTGGTGTTGCTAGCTCAAATGATCGGAGAAAAACACAGATACAGTGCCTTGGCCAAGGACACAACAAATTTCCACATTGTGTGTTCACACATTATGTATATACTGTATACAGTATATTATAACGCATGTTTGTAGTATATTATCCATTCATTTTTATATTGTTAAGTAAGCCCTAAAAATATATTGTTATATTGGCGTAACCTGATTGACCCTAAAAATACAGCTGACCCTAGACATTTTTATTTACTTTCAGAGAAAAGAAATCAAAAACATAAATGAAATGACCAAAGAAATACATTTAATACCGTACTGTTTTTCAAGTTGTCGGTGACCACATACATATACAGAAAGCGCCTAGTTTTAGACCTAACATTAAAAATACAACAACAAATACAAATGACAACCTGTTGGGCCTTTTTCTTTAATTTTTCTTTTTAGAATATATATCGAGTAAGTGGGGGGGGGGGGAGGAATTACCTACTACCTACCCTAATTTTTTGGGCCTGCTACGCCAACATAACATTTTTTAGGCCTAATTAACATTTTTTCCATAGTCTCTGTTGCATATCCATATTATCATTTGTTGAGAAAAGCAACAAATAATTAGAATGAAACCAAGATGTGCATGCAGTTTTTAAAATTTTTCTCATTTTTTTAAAGGTGCTGACCCAAGCTTTAATGGAATTAATACGGAAAATGGTGAGTTTAAAGCAACATAAAGACCTAGTATTTACCAACTAGATAACTCCACAAATTTATTGAATGCTCTGGTTGTGCACTTCTCTATTGTTAAAAAAGAGGTGGGCTGTAAATGAAAAGTGGTGTATTGACCTGACCATTTTGAAACCATTTTTAGGAAAATCGGTTGAAAATTGGAACATTGTCTCTATTCATATATCCTTAAAGTACAGCATTTGATCTCACCCGAGATGAGTATTTACTGTCCTTGTCGTCTGGGCTCCCTGAAAGTGTTGACAGTTGCAGAATATGTTCAAGGGATGAATATTGTTTGGAACCTATTGTTATTTGATAATTTTCTGTGTTGCAATTTAAATCTAAGAATTGCTGCATTTTTTTAATGGTTTGGTTTTTTTTCTTTTTTGAATTCTTAGAGAATGTTCATATTTGTTCATCAGTCAGGGATGACACATCAGTCAGGGATGACACAACCTCAACTGCTGACAGTAAGTAGGATTTTGCTGAATTAATATTGCTGTTTGTATGTACTGTACAGTAGGGCTTACTACAAATATTGAATCTAAAGAATAATTTTCACACCAATAATACTCATTTGTTTTTATATTAGTGGAAGCCCCTATTCAAAATGTATCTATTGCAAGTACCTCTCAAAATGCTGGTGAGTGCCATTATTTTGCACTTTTTGACATTTACCGTATTATATGATTACTTTGCAGTATTTTTGTTGAAGTCTTTATGCTCTATGAACTTTATACAATTTCCAGAACAAGAAAATTAACTGTATAGTCGCATATATTTTATTCAATTTCTAATTTTATTTTAGTTACAGATGCTATGTGCAGTGTATCTGCTGTAAATCCCACACAAAATACAGGTGGGTGCAAATATTTTTTTTAAAAAGCAAATGTTTCCAACAATTTTCTCTACTGGGTGTTATTAGCCACATGTGTAGTAATTATATATATTTGAAATGTGAATACTGTATAATAGAATTTTTCAGCACATTATTATAATTAGGTGATTTTTTTTGGATGATACAAAATTCCACAAGCAAGCTGATTGTTTCAATTTTTCTTACCACACTCCACAATACAGAGCAAGGAGTGGAACACACACAAACTAAAAATAAAAAAAATTAGAGCATAAATTGAGCAGTGGTTACAAACTGAAACCATTTAATGAGTACTAAAACCAATCAGTCAAAATTATTTAAGACAAACATGTATAAAACACTTCAAGAGCTCATCCAGTTCTTTTTGAACGATGACTTTTTTTTTTCATCGAATCATGCAATGTGACTTCATCATCACCACCATCATTTATCCTCATCATCATTCCTCGTTTGAGTTTTTTGCACACTGCAGCCAACAAAACGGAGCAGAAAAAATGGCAGATTATAAGGAGGCTTTGCTAGAAGCAAGGCCTCCTTGTGTGATTGAATTGATGTTGAATGGATTGTATTTCGTACTTTTCGTGGATTTGGCTTGCCATACATATGTGTGTATACTGTTGTAATCCCATTTTATTTTTTCCCCTCTTACAGAATATGTATGAATTTCAATTTCTCTTTCAATCTTTTTCAGGTCGTCAGTATACACAGTGGACAGTGGCAGAAAACCATTTGGTAAAGGAATATTTTAAAGATTATCTAAATGGGAAAACTGAAAAGCGACTCCCAGGTAAATATCACATATGATACAACCCTGTAAAATTGTGTTTTTTAAATCTAATCCATGTGTTGGTTTAAGTAAAAATCTTCCAACTTGCATCATAGAAGTCATAGTTGTTTTGTTTTTGTTTACTGTACAGGAAGGCAAGTAATTAGAAGGTTCATGCAAGAGCATCCAAATTTTCAACATGGCGAGAAAGTTGTTCACACAAAAATAATGAACGAGGTTAAGAAACAGGAGCAGAAGGCTAAGAAGAGACAACAAGAATGGGCAATGGAGTAGTGTCAACTTAATAGTTAAGCAGGGGTGTATCCAGGATTTTTTCTGGGTGGGTCGTGATAATAATTTTTTGGACCTTTTCAGGGGCGGCGCTAGCGGGGTGGGGGGGTCCGAAGGGGCAAAGAACCCACCGTCGGGGACCTCGGGACCCCCACTTGGACCCCCTGTCGGGGAAGTGCCAGAAAGTTCGTCGGGGAAAACATGACAGCCAAAGTAAAATCATCCCTTACTATAACTGTCAAAGGATTACTAAATGTTTAATGCGAGCATCTTGCTATCGTAGGGATGTGCGAGACTTATATGGGTTGAACTGGTGGCACCAGCTCTTCCCCGACAAGGGGCTGGTACCTCCGACAAGGGGTCAGTACTCCCGACAAGGGGACTCTTAACTGGCATGGTTTTATAATAAAGCATCCTATTAACACACACAAAAAAAGTCCCCGACAAACTAATTTCTCCCCGACCGGGGGCTGGCAACCCAGACAGTATAGTAGTACCCCGACAGGGTTTAGAACTCCTAACAGGAGAATTAATTGGCGAGTATTTTGGAATATGAAAGACTTAATTTGCATAGTTTCCTATCAAATTATCTTTTTTAAATAAAGAATCACGTAATTAAAACCAACCAAATTTTATTATTTTTTAATCAAAAATTTTCCCCGACAAATTTATTTTTCCCCGACCGGGGGAAAGGTTTCCACTAGAGGGGATATCGATATAGCACCACTAGCCCCACCCCGCTGGCGCCTCAACTGATCATTGTGACACTGTGTAAGAACAGACACACAAAAACCACAGTGGCGGCCCCAACCCCTAGGGACCTCGATCCACCACCCTGACCAAAAAGGGCTTTATTGATACATGTGTTTCTACTGAAAACTACAAAATAATCGATTTTTTTTAACCGCTTTTTTTAATGATTGCCAGACAGCCAGCTCGCGTTGCAACTGTTTATTACTTACACGAAAATCGGTTTTCGCGGCGGAAATTACGTTACCATTACCCACGAACTCCAAAGTACGAACTGACCTCTCTTGTTTATGAAACACATTCTCCGAACTGTGTAGGCCTAGGCTATTGCTTTCCGACGATTTTTGGCAATATGACTAATTTTAATAATGCCAATTTGTTACTCGCTACGCTATGGACGTTTCTTTCTCAACAAGACAGTATACTTCACATGAATTCCGTTAACGATGACGAGGAGGAGGATACGGTGTGGAACATGCTAAGTGCACGTCGTGCGGCACAATGAACGAGGACAACGGTATAGGCGCAGAAGAGATGGGAGGCATAGGCCCAATATCGTTGGCCACGGGATTTATGTTCCCCACCACAAAATAATTACAAACCGAGTGATTTTGTCGCTCCACATCGTTAAGTTAACTTTCTGCTTGTACAACATGTGACAAAAGCAAAAGACTAGGCTTCCTGTAATCGTTCTGAATGTTCGCGCTTGTACCTCGGTTTGACCTAGAGGTCACCCAATAATCGCTTTTTTCGTGTTGCAGCTAAAAACTGCACAGCCAAAATCGGTTATTTGCCGTTCAAACACGCTATCCATTGCATGTTTTTAATCGATTTTTTTTAATCGCTTTTTTCGAACTGGTCCCGTTTCTACTAGAAGAAAAAAAGCGATTTTTTTTTGAAAAAGCGATTATTAATCGATTTTTTCTTCCCAGTAGAAACATGCCCTCTGTCATCGACTGTAGAACATGTGGCGGACTAAATTGGGACCATGTTAGCCTGGGGCTCTCTAAAACTGGAGATAAAATGATAGACAGGCGCGGATCCAGACCTTCGCCCAGTTCGCACGTGCACTATACATAATTAAAACCAAAAACAAAACAAAAATGACAAGCTGAAAAATAAAGACAACAAAGATATAACTAACACAAAATTAAAAATTATGAAATTGTTCAACATTTTAAATAATTTCTCTAGAAAATACAAATATGGTATAAATAAGGCTGATCGGTTTTTGAATGATCTTCTTAATTTGTGTAAAATGTATGTAATATTGAGCAGGAAAGATTTTTATTTACTATATTACCACTTTTTACATTGATGATTCATTATCATCACCCAGTTGAATTTTTACTTAAATAGGCCTATATACAATGAATGTTGTCGGAACTGGGATAAGATGCGATGAAAACTGGCCGGTTATGCACTTACATTATGCTGAACTCGCTTTCAATTATAAAAAAAAAAAAAATCTGCCAGGTTGTTTCATTTTATACCCATGTGCAACACTGAATAATTTGATCTTACTTACACAATTATAATCATCCATTGGTTCAATCCATTCGAGTAATGACCTGGTTTAATTTAGAAAATAATCATGTTTATGTGAACTACTTATTACTATATCTGTTTCTTGAATGCAAGAATCAGTTCTTATGATGAACTCTTCATAGGACCTGTTCCTAAAAAACTGTTTCTAAACACATACCCAGCTCAAAAGAACCGTTTCTTGCGATGCATGTTTTAGTAGTAACAGGAATAGTGTGCACAATTCGGTCAACGTGAGGTGAAACTGTTACTGCCCATGTGATATGTGGACTTAATTTTTTTTTTTTCATTTGTTATGTGGACAATGTGGTTGGCTGCTAACATTTTTTCCTCTTATTTTCTGCTGTATTCTTAACAAATACCAAACCAGTTTATTGTATCTTGAATGCTGGTTATAAATACAGTAAAAATAAGCATAGCTGATACTAGTGATGCAAAGTTACTTAAAGTTGAAGAAATTATTAATTTGATCAATGTTTTTTTTAGTCAAGTTGAATATCAGAATTGGTTTTATGTGGAGCCATAATTAAGCCGAATCGTTGATTTTTTCGTGTTAATCTGATTACCAACCAACGATTAGTGAATTGTTTATTTCTCGATATTCAGTAGAAACACTTACCATAAACACTCCTCGATCTTCAATCGAGGGCAGCACCTGCTTTAGTATTTTAAATACACTTATTTGGTACTTTATATTATTTATAGTCTGTAAAAAAATATTGTTCAGGTAATTGAATAACATGTGCTGTCGGGCTGCCATTCTGCTTTATTCAAAATAGACAGTAGGTCTGCGCTTATTGAAGGCATTAAATGCGGAGTTAAACACAAGTCTGTTAGCAAAACAATATGTTGAAAGTATATAATGGCACAAAAATACTTGTAGGCATATCTGAATATATACTAGCCTATGCCCCCACTAAATTAAAGCCTGCTATTAGATGAATTTATTCACACAAATCAAGTGTCCAGTCGCCTTCAGAGCTCTGGTTATACATTTTCACTTCACAAAAAGTAGAAAGATTCCGAACTGCTGATCTTGCTGAGAAAAAAATGTGCTAGAAAGTGTATGTGAAAGAATTAACACTTTCTATTCACTCTAGTAAATTTGCTTGGTGGAAATCTTGCTCAAGGCCTAAAACAATGTGGAATCGTCAGGCGCGGATTTAGGGGCGCCCCCCCCCCTTTTTGCTCGGCCAAATTATATATTTGCTGAAACTACAGTGCAAAAAAACAACTGAATTTGCTCAAAATCTAGGAGCCCCCTGGGCCCCCTAATTATTGTTTAGCCTACTAATTTTATTCATGATGTCTATTGCGCAATTCACATTTTTCCTTTAAAATATTTGTCCAGTCCCTCAAAACAATCCTAAAAACGTCCAGAATGCACTACTTCACATGCAGTTTCGCCCTTGGTCCCGTACCATGGGGGACGGGAAACGCTTCGCCATTGGTACATATAGTGGGGGCTGGGGAACACGCCAGTTAATTAGATATGGTTGCCGAAAATCACCGTGTTTAGTACTGATTCTAGTTTGAGGCTGAGGATTGTTCCCCACTGTGTTGCTGATTATGTCTTCTACATTTATTCTGACGATGATGAATTTCACTATATAAGAGTGTGATTTCCAGCCATCAAAATTCAGGTCTACTGTTATCTCTTCGGATTTTGACTCACGACATCCCCCTATCTTCTACTCATTCCATATGTGATGATGATGAATTTTACTATAAGAATTTCATTTCCAGAAATCTATAGGACCTATTTCTGAAAATTTTTGCGCCTAGGCCTCAACCATGGTGGGAGCTAGTGAATGTCAACTCATGCCTGTTTTCCCCTCTTTAGTGCTGCTTTTAGGTCTTTTACATTCATTCCATATGTGATGGTGATGGATTTTTATATGTTAGACTATCATTTCCGGCCAATACAGGTACTATTTCTTCAAATTTTCGCACCTCAGCCCCAACCATCGTGGGGCTGTGGTGGGTCTGTTTAGTGCTGATTTAGGTTTTCTTAATTCCATATAGGATGATTGTGAACTTTACTGTAATAAGAGTGTCATTTCAGGTCACCTAGAGGTATATCTCTTTAAAAATTCGCCCATCAGCCCCCACCATAGTTGGATGTCCATTCACGACTTCCCCTGTTTATGGTCATTAAGTCTTCAACATTCATTATGGGATGAGCATGAATTTTATTATATAAGGGTGTCATTTCCGGCCATCTAAAGGTACTGTTTCCTCAAATTTTCCAACCTCAGCCCCAATCATGGTGCGGCTGAGGTGAGTGTCTATTCACGATTTCCCCTTTTTTGGTGCTCATTTTAGGATTTCTACATTCCATGGGATGATCATGAAATTGAATTTTACTATATAACATTGTCATTCCCGGCCACAGAGGTATATATCTTAAATTTTTCGCGCCTCAACCCAAACCATGGTGGGGCTGAGTAGATGTCTATTTCAAGTGATGTTTCTAGGTCTTCAACATTCATTCCGCATGGGATAGACATGAATTTTATTATATAAAAGAGTGTCATTTCCGGCCATCTAGTCTAGAGGATATTTCCTCAAATTTTCCATTCTCAGCCCCAACCTTTTTCGTGATCATTTTAGGTTTTCTGCATTCCGTATCCATTCACGATTTCCCGTTTAGTGGTCATTTTAGGTCCGTATGGGATGAGCATAAAGTTTATTATATAAGAGTGTCATTTCCGGCCATCTAGAGGTACTAATTCCTCAAATTTTCGAAACTCATCCCCAACCATGGTGCGGCTGAGGTGGTGTCCGTTTACGATTTCCCCTTTTTTGGTGCTCATTTTAGGCCTTTTGCATTCTGTATGGGATGATCATGAATTTGAATATTACTATACGAGTGTCATTTCCGTCCATCTAGAGGTACTATTTCCTAAATTTTTTTGCAAGGCTTGACCCCCCCCCCCTTAAATTTTTTTTTCTGGCTGCACCC